GATTTGTTTCAATCATATTGCTTTAGTACAACCAATTTATGTTATGAATTTCTATTTTCAATCTTTGAACTTTATTAGTATATGTATTTAACTTTTTTAACTTCTAAGACCATATGTACTCAAGTCTTTGAACATTTAGCGCTTAATATATGTATTTCTATCATTATTGGTTTGGTTCCACGTTGTTGCACGGATACTTTTACTCTTGTACTAGTTTTATTGTTGAAATGTAACACTTTAATTTAAACATTAGTCAATGATTCAATACTGTCATTAGTAATTGTTCATAATTCCATTACAATTAAAGAAACATTTCATAAATATCCAACCACAACATCCTCAAACTTGTCATTACATAAAGAACACCATATTTGCCTACTTCAAATAAAACACCTTTCCAAATTGAACCAAGTTGTTACAAATTACATACATTAAGACCAAATTCAACAACAATAGAAAACCAACAACAATTATCAAGAAGAAGAAGAAGAAGAAGAAGAAGAAGAAGAAGAAGAAGAAGAAGAAGAAGAAGAAGAAGAAGAAGAAGAAGAAGAAGAAGAAGAAGAAGAAGAAGAAGAAGAAGAAGAAGAAGAAGAAGAAGAAGAAGAAGAAGAAGAAGAAGAAGAAGAAGAAGAAGAAGAAGAAGAAGAAGAAGAAGAAGAAGAAGAAGAAGAAGAAGAAGAAGAAGAAGAAGAAGAAGAAGAAGAAGAAGAAGAAGAAGAAGAAGAAGAAGAAGAAGAAGAAGAAGAAGAAGAAGAAGAAGAAGAAGAAGAAGAAGAAGAAGAAGAAGAAGAAGAAGAAGAAGAAGAAGAAGAAGAAGAAGAAGAAGAAGAAGAAGAAGAAGAAGAAGAAGAAGAAGAAGAAGAAGAAGAAGAAGAAGAAGAAGAAGAAGAAGAAGAAGAAGAAGAAGAAGAAGAAGAAGAAGAAGAAGAAGAAGAAGAAGAAGAAGAAGAAGAAGAAGAAGAAGAGGAGGAGGAGGAGGAGGAGGAAGAGGAGGAGGAGAACAAAAACATAGGTTTCAGAGCATTAAAGAAGAAGAAGAAAACCTAGTCACGTATGCATCTACTTGGCATCAACATCGTCAACATTTAACACCATTTGTGGAATTTGGACGGAAGTCCCACATTGATGTATTTTAAAATTATTTGGGACTAAATTGAAACCAAAAATTAAAGTGGGACCAAATTGAAACTTTTAAATATTATAAGGGACCAAATTAGGCATTTAGCCAATATTATATTAACTGGCTAGTTGTAAAAAAATGCGTGAACTCATGAAGTTGGGTTTATGACCTTTATGCTTCCTATGTTATGAATTGCGAATTGAATGTGTATGATGTTGGATAATTTCTTGGTATGGTTTATGTGTTATTCTGATGTATATGCCTATGAGAAGTTTCTTGTATGAGACTGTGAATATGATGAGACAATGTGAAAAGTGAATATGAGACATGAGACATGATGATATGTGATACTGAGACATGATATAAGAGAAACTATGACAAGTGAAATGATAAGTCAATGAAGTGTGAATGTGTGACATGCACCATGTGCATCTATGTGACGGATACGATGTGGAGTACATCGTTAGGGAAGGCCCTCCTTGTGTAACAGCTTGGGGGAGTCCTAGTGCGGTTTGGATGTCTCGATTCCGCTCGTTTGTGAGCACGTGATGTAACTTGCGCAGCTTCGCTATCCCGACCAGACCTTGACAGTACATCCTTCTAGTTGAGAGTGTATAGGTAGCTCCCTACATGTACTCCTAAACTACCTTAGGTGTGTTGTTTCAACAACATACCAGTGATATGTGATATGTGACTGACGCCACATGCATGCATCTATGAGTCGAGTCCCTATGATGAATGATTGTGTATGTGGTGCTGTTGTATGTGTAACTTAAATTTGTACTTGATTAATGTGTAGCTATGTCTGTGTTTGTTATGACTTATGTGTGTTGCCTAATCGTTATTTCTACACCTTAACCTGAGTGGGATGTTTCTCACTCCCTTGTTTGCTCTATGTATGTCTTTTATTGTGTTGTAGGTGACCATCAACATGAGAATGTTGGTGACAAAGTTTAGGCTTCAATTGGGCGTGCTCTGATAGGACATGTGACATCACGTTGTAGTTAGGACTAGCCTAGGATGTTGTTTCCATTAAACTATTTTGAAAACCTTAGTTTCTTTTCTTTTGTAATTTCTACATTGGAGTTATGGTTTATGAGTTGTGAATGTGAATCTTCTACCTTATGATATTTGAGACACTTGTTTTATTCATGAAAGATGTTATCAACTATGAAAGATTTTATTTACTCGAAAAATTATAGTTTGCATTTATTGTGTATTAATGTTGGGGTAGAGGGTGTCACAACCTCCATAGTTAGCATAGCTTTAAAATCTCCACTAAATAACCTCTATTATATTAGCATGCTTTAAAATCTCCACTAATAAATCTTCATAGTTAGAATAACTTTTAAACCTCCATTAAAATCCTCCATTGTTAGTGTAAGTTTAAAAACTCCACAAAAAAATTGTTATAGAATACTTACAACACCAATTTTTTTTTTTAAAATACCACTAGTTGCTTGTGACGAATGTAATTGTGGAGATTTTTGAAATCCTCTGTAATTTATTCTTGGGTAAAAACCTCCACTAAACATAAAAATAAATTCTATTATTTATCATATTTGTTGTAGTGATTATCTAATATTATATTCAAATAGGTTCTCAATCAAATGAATAAAATTTTCTATATCCAATTTACTTTACTCTTTGATTTTTAACAAGACTATCAAAGTTTAATGACTATAATCATCAAGAATGGTTAAAAAATACTTGTGACATGTATTGAAGCTTTGGAAAAGCATCTCCAAATATCCATATTAATTAATTAATTTTTTTTTTGAATGCTTTACTTATACTTGGTGTATGACAACTTTCTTTGTTTAGTAAAATGATAAACCTCACAAGTTTTAGTGATAGATTTAGAAATAAAAACTAATATTTTATGTAAGTCATTCAATCTATTTTCAAACAAGTGACCTAATCTAAAATGTCAAATATTTGATGTATTGATGGTAGTGGATGAGGAACTGTTGACAAAAGCGGTTCTTGATGGTGAGGATTCTCTTCCTTTATTGAAGCTTTGGAAAAGCGTCTCCAAATATCCATATTAATTAATTAATTTTTTTTGAATGCTTTACTTATACTTGGTGTATGACAACTTTCTTTGTTTAGTAAAATGATAAACCTCACAAGTTTTAGAGTGATAGATAGAAATAAAAACTAATATTTTATGTAAGTCATTCAATCTATTTTCAAACAAGTGACCTAATCTAAAATGTCAAATATTTGATGTATTGATGGTAGTGGATGATGAATTGTTGACAAAGGCGGTTCTTGATGGTGAGGATTTTCTTCCTTTATTGACAACTATATGGTAAAGAGTATCTTCAAGGAACTAATTTTCTGGATAGTGCATAAATTATTAAAAAAAAGTAAGAACATAGGCTGAATTAGAAATTAGTTTAGAAATAGAAATAAATGAGATTGAATTTGAACTGTGACACATGTACATATAAAACATTGTTAATGATAAAGTTTGTGAATAGATGAATTGTGCCGGAGATTTGTGAAGTGACCGAAGCGCCATTAGGTAACTTAAAATGAATTGGTTTTATTTTAGAATAATATTGTAAAAAAATCTAAGGACGTGACAATGTGATTTGTTGCTCCTAAATCAATAACCTTGGGAGTGTCATTTAACAATTTAGAATCAACAAAAGCGTTTGTGAAAACATTTAGAATGTGGGTGCTACCAAAACTTGGGTCCAGAGAACTTGTTGGCCCAATGAATAGAATGAGACAAATAAACATGGTTGAATTGTTTATTTGGGCCTGAACCACTCAAGTTACCGAGTTGTTCTAGTAGAGCAATGAATCGCTAGTGTTGGGTTGGACTGTTGGAGTAATGCTAATACTTGGGCCTTGTGGTTCAGATATCTGTAGAAGGTTGCCCTTAGAAAAACGTTCTTTCAAGTTTGTCCAAATGTCAATGGCTTGATCGAAATAGATTACACACTATGAAATAGATGGAGACAGGGAGTTTTGTGTGGTGACACGATTTTCAGCCATTGATGAGTGAAGACAGTATAAGCAGAGCTCCAAGAGGGAGCTTTGATACCATCAAACGTTTTGGATATTTAGGGATGACACAAGGAGAGATTATGATGGATGGCATGTTCTCTATTGTTCCTTGATCCAAAATGCATGTGAATATAGCAGTTCATATATAGACTAGATTATAGGGAAAAATCTAATAAAAATAGGACAAAATAGCAAAACAGAAAGCATGTGCAAGGAAAAATACAAGACAAACAAATGATAGCTCAGCAAAGGCTTACCATCATAATTTTAATTCTGCTATGGTGTATGGGCTGTGCTCATGTTAGTATTTTGATATATATATATAGATTCAGCACCTTTCGCAGTTTTACTCGTATTTTCGTATAGTATGGCATTAAATCTTAAGAACCAGTGCTGATGATAAAACATAGAAATAAGAGGACTAGCTTCATGCTAAGGCAAGTAGGACAAATGATGGTGAAAAGGGGTGACCACAGATTCGAATCTTTCGATGAAGGGGAGAGCAAGAGAAGTTGCACAAATTAGGGCTTTGGTCGAGAAAAAATGTGAGGAGGACATTTTTTCATTTTAAAATTATCTACGGTGGTAGACCTATATATACTTGAAGATGTACAAATGCACCCCTAATTTTGATAAAATTACAAAATAAATATTTTGAATTTTGTCCCTGAATGATCCACTGCCTGCTGGTTTTTATATTTTTAGCTATAGGTTTTAAAATTTTTGACTAAATATATTATAATTTTTTTTCATATATTTGATAATCATATTTTTTATAAAAAAAGAATTATCCCCGCACTGTCTTATGAATTTGTTGATACGCTGTTGTGAATCTTTGGATAATAACACAACTGGATGGAATTACTGAGTTATGAATTAATTCAACATGTCTTATTTAATTTATAAGCATCACATAAAACCACAGAACTGTTTAAAGTTCATATATAGTAGAATAAAACAAAAGACAAAACTAGCTCGCATAAACGGAGAACATATCCTCCTTTTATTCTATTTTCTAGCACGAAGTACCATGCACCGTTCCTAACAGCCGATACACCATCCAACTCCTTTTCATGCTTCACTTGATGCTGCAGACAAAAAAATAAAAGCACCATATATTAATTTTTGGAATCAAATATACATATATATATATATATATATACATATATATATATATATATATATATAGAACCATTAATAAACTTCATACCAAGTAATTCTCTATTCTTTTAAAAATCAGAGATTGTATACTATCTCAATATATATATTAAAAATGTATTAAACAATGTTTCTATCATTTCTGTGAAGTGAGAAGGCGGCATTTAAATAATAATTGAGAAATTCTATGGTACCCATCTTATTTGAGAGGGTACCGGTACAGTTTTTTATATTTTATATTTTTAGTAATTTATTTAAATAATATTTATAATATTTTATCCTTTCAATTTTTAAATTATTTAGTCATTTTATTTTTATTTTATATATTCTAATTTATTTGTAATAATATTATTATATATTTAAATAGTTTAATTTTAATAATTTTTTAAGTATATTTTTATCTTTTCACTTAAAATTTTTGAATTTTTATATTTTAATTTTAATAATTTTTTAAGTATATTTTTTGTCTTTTTATCTTAAATTTTTGAATTTCTATATTGTAATTTTAATAACTTTTTATTTCTACTATTTATTAATTTTTTCTTTTTCTTTAATATTTTATAATATTATTGAAAACTTATAATTTTAATCTCTATAATTTTATCTTACTTTTTATTTTATAAGTATAATTTAGATTATTTATTTTATAATTAAATTAATTTTTTTAAAAAAAGTTTATGAATTTACATAGAAAAATGTATTGAAACCCTTCCATCTTTGAGGGTACCGTAGCAACTCCCATAATAATTTGGGTCAACTATACGTTCTACAGTTACACGGTGCATGAGAAGGAAAGAATGACACGTAAGTTTTGTCCGAGTGAAACAGACTTGGCATATCTAATGTTATCTACAGAGCTAAGCACTCATGCGGTGAGCAAATAAGAACCATATGATAAATATTAGACAGTCCAAATTCATCTCTTAACCGCATGAATACTTATATAGGTTTATTAATTTTTCTATTTATTCCAATATATATATTGACTACATAAATACATAAAATTGGTTAACACATCAAATCCGGATCCCTATCTTTAATACAGGACTTAAAAGGCCACTTGTATCTTAGTCTTCAACCCACACCGAAAGTTAGATAGTTCTTATTTTTGTGAGATATGGATTAATAAACTAAAATCTTGTCTCATCTAACAAAATAAATAAATGTATCTGATATTTAAGAGAAAATAAAACTTAGTTACAGTAACATATGCGCTGTTAGTGCTGTTGTTTAATTAAAGTTAAAATTTTACTTATATCAAAATTTGTATTAAATATAAGTATAAAACTTCAGTTTTGATTAAAAACCAGTTTCAACAAGATGAAACTGTAAGTAACTTTTGTACTTATGAAATCAAGAATTTGATATCCCTGATGTACGTGAGGAGTGATAATTGTTTATATTTTGTATTTATCTGAATCTTATTACATAGACACGTACCTGGCACAGTTGGTGGAGGTGCTGATCTTGTAGGGTATGCTAACTCCACACTTTCCGGGGAGAGTCTGAGCGTTGGTAGGGTTGAGCCTGCGGATGGCAGCGGCGGCACTCTTCAAGCAGTTGCAAGCTAAGCGGCGGTCGGCGGTGGTCCTGGCCGTGTTCACGATGCTCCTAACGCCGCTGCAGCACCTTGGGGGAACAACACCACCGTTCTGAAGATATCCAAGGCACGGTGCTAGGCTACTCTGCACCTGACCACACGTGATTGCTTCCGCAGTGTGTGCACCCACCACGACCATGCACACCAGAACCACGCATGACAACCTCAAAAAACTAGCCATTTTCAAAACTGAATGATGAATGATCAGTGTTCTTTCTTCTCTTTGGAATTGATTAGTAATTCGTGTGTTGTGGTGTTGTGTTGAGGGGTTTAGGGTTTATATAGTGGTGGTTTTGGGGAGGGGGGAGTAGGGGGGGGTTGTGATGTATTGAATACTTGGCCATCTCGAGGGGCTTGGGATATGGGCTTTCTCTAAGATCTTTATTTTGCTGTGTATTTCAATTTTCAAGTGAGTGACACTTCAATATAGTTATGGCTTAGAAATTTACTACTATCTTAAATGGACCGACGGCACCGAGTGGAGTTTTCTTGCCAAATGTTTACTTTAATTCAATGATTTTTTTTTTCCTTTTATCTATCTAGATCTAGATATATACTAGTACTATTGTTGTTAATATATATTACTTTCTTTCTTCCATCGTTTTTTGTTTATAAAAACCCTTTAATAATTTATAGAAATTAAAAGTACTAAATTTGGACTTATGTTTTTAAGCCTGTAAAAAATAATTAATTTAGTACTATTATTATATTCGGACAATTTCAATTTTGTACAACATTAACGAACGTCATTTATACTGGCCGGTGAATTGAAGTTATTCTGTTTGGACATGTGTAATCCAATTAATATTTGTGTGATTGAAACTACGCATGGGTTATTATTTCTATCTTTGAAGGGACATCACCGAATACATTTTTCTAATCAAATATTCACTTGAATTAAAAGAAACATTTTCAATCTGTTTGTATGTGATCAGTGCAAAGATAATGATAGCGTTACTATCATATTCATGGAATTCATTAACAGGAAGAACTATTGGTGATGATTACACGAGTTCTTTCTTTCCCTCTTAAACACTTGAGAAGGCGGGTGATCATTAATTATATATTTGTCTAATTTACTTGTAATATGTTTAGTTTATATATATAGATCATTATATAATTGTTATGTTTAGACTAAGTTTTATGTTATTAATATTGGATATTATTGGATTTTTTTTTTGTTTATTCATGAAAATGTCCTCCGATTGATAATTGGTCATTTTTATTGGATTCTTATGCAAGTTAAGTTATGCTTGATTTTAGAATTTTCGCTCTCATGACATTTTTTTTTACAATTTTTATTTTCTCATTGGGAATAAATTACCTTATTCCATGAGAAATTTAAGTTGAAGTTGGAGAAAGGGCTTAACTTGTCTAGGATGACTTTAATTTGCTCAGTAGATTGTCTATATATGATAGAGACGTTGTAGGTTAGATCGATTTGAAAACTAGTTTCATTTTTAAGCTAAGATCCAAAGATGCATTTTATATGAAGGGACATTCTCCAACTTTAACACTTTAATAAAGGCTTTGACATTGGCTTTCTATGGTTATAACTTAATCTAGTTAAGCATCAAATTGTTGGGAACTTGGACCAAACTTCTTTTGTGCAGCCTAGCTATTGCCTATATTAGAGTTGTAGGTGTTAGATCGAGATATTGAAAACCAGTTCCATTTGTTAGCTAAGATTCAAAAATCCATTATGAAGGGGCCTTCTCCAACTTTAACAACTTAAACACTATAATAAAGGCTTTAAGATTGGCTTTCAATGGTTAAAACTTAGTCAATTGTTAAGCTCTCTCAAACTGTAGGAACTTAGTCAACATAAGGATTAGAAATCACTTAAACCCAACATATTAGTTTAAGCATTTTAAAAGAAGGAAAGGCAAAAAAGTGAAAAAAAATTAAGAACATTAAATCGTTTTGGCTCTTTGACAGCACATTCTCCTTCGTTTTCAGTTTACGTTTGTTCAATCCATCCACTATACAAATTTAATATACTTTGGTTAGCAGATTTTGTATGAAGACCTATGATTATGATTCGTATTCCAGATTTTATTCTTTGATAATTATTTTAATTATTTTTTTTCCTTTTTATTTTGTTCTGTAGAAATTACAATTGCGGCGACAGGGTCCGAATTTAGAACCTTGCGAATGGTACTCCAAAAATTTAATATAACATTATAGGACTTTTGAATAGGGATGGGAATGGGCGCAGTAAGGCAGGTAATAGTAAACCCATTCCTGTCTTGCTGGATAAAAATTGGTCTCATACCCATCCCATATCTGCATGGATATCCATTAAGAGGATATCCATGAATTTCTTGAATATTCACGGATATCCATGGATATTTATGAATTTTTTAAAAAATTAAAAAATTATATTATAAATAATTTTAAGTTTATGTTTAATGTTATTGAAATATTAAAAATAAAAATTCAATGTTAATTTTGAACTTATATTTAACGTTAATTTTATTAAAATAAAAATAAAAATGTAAGATAATTAATAACTTAAAATACATCAATCTCACAAGTAAGTGAAAGTCTCATGTCACAAAGCTACAATAATTCAATCTCATAATTCCATACAAAAGTAATTAAAATACATAAATCTTATCGCTCCAATCAAAACTAGAAAATTAATCAAATTTGATCCAACATAATTTTATAACATGTTTAACACATGTTGGTAACTTCATCAACCTCACTTTGTAAGAAAATAAGATGAGAGAATGTAGTTTTAGGGTTATGTGGTACAAAGATAATTAGGAAATTTAATAAATATTATTAAAATGGTACTCACGGATATGGATATCATCATACCCGCCTCCGCCCCGTTTATAAACGGGTAAAAAATTATTTGCCCCATTATCCGCATGTACTCAATTAGCCTATCCATTTATTATTCATAGCAGATATTACCTGCAAATACTCGCGGTTGCGGGTATTTTTGGCATCCCTAGTTTTGAACCCTCAAAATTCCTTGATTTTGGTTCTTCATAGTTTTACAAAATGTGCGATTTTAATTTATTTTTTTCTATCTATTAACTTGGCATGTAATATTTGAAAGAAATATTGATTTACTAGAAGAGTGTGGACGTAAATCTTTTCTAAGTTGATGTATTTTATGAGAAAATACTTTTCAAAAATGATTAGGTGATCTAGCAAGAAAAACAAAACCTTGACAACTATTGGTAGAAAAAACCCATGCTCCTCATGATTCCCATTTTTGCGTAGAATGTTTTATCCATTGAGTATGCTTCGTTCTTTTGGTCAAATTATTTGCAGCAATCTAAACACTGCAATTTGTTATTATTTTTTTCCCCTTCTACTAACATTTTACCTCAATTAAGTGACCATGTCAATACAAAGACATTCCACAATTTACACACTCAATTTAATTGGAAGAATCTCATAATTAGTTGAACATGTTTTTCAAATATCACACAAATTTCAATAACTATATTTGTCTGTGCTTAGAGGTTAAAAAATATGTAATTTAGATAGTTAATTTTTTTATGTAAATGATATTTTAGAATCTTTATTGGGAGTGCCAGTTGCTTCATTGATACTAGGAGTGTAAGTGAGTAATAATCCACCCACAAACTCAAACTATATCAAACTCAATCAGAAGTGGGTTAAATTGGATCATTGAATTGAATAACTTTTATGTTAATTATAATTGAGTTGGATAACAAGTCAAGAAATTTATTATCTGACCCGATCAAACTTATATTAAATTACTAAATTAAATTACAAAACACTACATATAATCACACATATACAATAGAATTTGTGTTGTTAGTGTTGACTCACAAAACATTAAAAATAAGAGAAGATATGGAGTAAGAAGAATAATTTAATTCTACTTTATTTTATATAATTCAAAATTTGATGTTTTTGTCAAAAACAATTGTTATGTTTGTCATTTATGTTTGCTTGTTTAGGACATTTGTATTTTTTGATTTGTACATAATTATTGTAATGTTGATTTTATCTCATATCATGTATTAAAATTTGAATTAAGTGTCTACTTTTTATTAATTTCAAAATTTTAAACTACATTAATTTTTTACAACGTTTATGGTACAACTGGTATAAAATTAAGGTGGTGGAGGGTGTGGTTTTAATGGAAAAAAAAGTGTAATAATGGAAAAATTCACGCAAAGCATAAGCACAACACAACTAAGTCAAGGGTCAAAGGATATGGAATCAACACAGTACAATCCCATCAAGTATTGTTGATTTTGTGTGGAGAGTCTCGACTGGTAAAGTCCAAACCAAAGATAACTGAGGAAGAACCGAAGAAGAACATCATGATACAAGATCAAGACTACACTTGTTCGTTCTACTATTTACAAGATCAAACTACGACTTAGTTACTTAATGTTTACGTGCAAATTCTCTTACTTGATTTGAGTGTTATTGTTATAAATGAATTGGGATCCAAGTGGCAATGCTTATGGATGGTAAGGGTCATTTTCTACAACACAATGATGATAAGAAAATTAAGACATCACAGTGGTCATTTGGTTTGCATCACTATGGTTCTTTTGGTTATTACACTAGAATTGTATCATTTTAAACGATCCTAATATTGAACACGTATTGGAGTTGAATAAATTTAGAATTGGTCTTAACTGTCTAATAGAATGAAAGGATTCTCCTATTCGTTTTATGAGTCGCAATGTATCCATTGTTGTACCTAAAAAGTTTGTAGGTGAATGTTCCATGTAAATGGGGATAATATTGTTGGTCCCTACGGTTAGAATCTAGAAGGGGGGGTAGTGTCAGAATAATTTCACAATGACTTTTAAGAAGTTCCTACATGTCCCTCTCAAGTATATTATTCCAATCCCTGATATCATACTCTTTTCTCAACGTACCTCTTAGGGATTGTGCTGCTAATGGAGATCCATTAAATTTTTTAACAATTTCCCTTCCAATTCTTTCTAGAGCACTTCTATTATTATTGGATTCTGAGCGAGGAAATGCATGGTTCCCAAACACTAACAAAATATTTTTGTTTGACAATTTTTCCAGAGGATACACTTGAATAATATCAAAATGGACTATTTTCGCAACATTTTCACTGGGAGTTGTCATGAGAATTTTACTTTCCCTGACCCGACTTGGAAATGGTTTTTTAAGAATTATCCAATTATCATTACGCTCAATCCAAACATTATCCAAGACAACTAAGAATTTTTTATCTCTAAACTTTTCCATCAACTCAAGTTGAAGTGAATCTAGGTCATTCAATTTACAAGACTCATTGATAATTGTTGGGATCCTC